TGTAGAATCACTAGGTTCTGATGTTGCCATATAGGTCTTTATGTTGTTGCCTGTATTTTTGCACTGGTGTCTACTCATCTTTTCCTCTGTGCGGTGCAGGTGGTGTCTGTGTCTGAGAGTGCCTCTCTTGTTCTAATTTTTAGTATTGGTTTAGTAGGTTTTCTTGGTTAAATTGGTGCTATTGGGCTGTTTCTTCAGGGACAACTGATTTCAGTTGGTGAATTATATACTTATGATTCTGGTGATCTGGTTTAGTGGCTGGGTAGCGCCTTCTTCTGTGTTCTCAGGTCACGTTTTGTTCATTTGTCAACTCCTCAGCTGATCTTGTTTCTTCAGACTTCAAACTGTAGGCATCTGAATCCTCTCCCAGATGGGTTTCAGCTGAGCAGGGTAGTCTCACCAACACCTCCAAGTTGTTGGGTTTCACAGGATCAGCAGTTGGGTCCTAGGTTGTCCCCAGACAGAGTGCCCAGACTCGCCTTGGTTCCGTCCCACGGAGATAGCCTCTTCCCCAGGTGTTGGGGCTAGGGGTATCCCCGTTCCAATCTGCGTCCGCCCCTCTCTGTCCCCGGGCCTGTCCACCCCTGCGGCCCACCGCCACAGGCCCACCTGCATCCACTTGTCTCCGCCACCGGGCCTGTATGTCCCTGTCAGCTGCCGCTGGGTCTGTCTGCCTCTGCGGGCCGCCAACGGGCCTGTATGTCTCTGCCGGTTGCCGCTGGGCCTGTATGTCCCTGTCGGCTGCTGCCACTGGGCCTGTTCACCTCCGCAGGTCGCTGACCTGCGTCTGCTTGTCTCTGCCGCATGGCCCGTCCACTTCTGTGGGCTGCCGCTGGGCCTGAATGTCTCTGTCGGCCGCCACTGCCGGGCCCGTCCATCTCCGTCTGCTTATCTCTGCTGCAGGACCTGTCCACCTCTGTGGGCTGCCGCTGGGCCTGAATGTCTCTGCCAGCTGCTGCCGGGCCTGAACATCACTGTCAGCTGCCTCTGGGCCTGTCTACCCCCGCGGGCCGCTGCCACAGGCCTACCTGCGTCTGCTTGTCTCCGCCATCTTGTCTTATCGTGGTGTTTGGTTTTAATTTTATGTTTTCACAAAATCCCTTGAGATTTTGTTGTTGATATTAAGCCTGGCATTGATTTCAGTAATGATTCAAGAATACATTTGAAATCATGCTCTTCATTTTTGTACCTCCAGAGTAGTCCAAGAGTAGATAATCTACTCCCAATGTGTGCTGTTTTGTAATACAACAATGTTAATTTTAAGATGCTTAATACATAAGAATATAAGAAATATTAAACACTTTATGTGTGTATTCAAAGCCATATTTTCATGTTTCTGGTAGAAATGTAATAAAGTAGAATAATCAGCAATCAATCAGTTGTTTATCTTACATCATCAGGGCAGAGCTGTTGTGAGCAGCTTGAGGGGTCCAGGATACCTCACACTCCAGGGCTGAACTGTTCCCTTGTATTTCTAGCCATCAGAACTGTGCTAAACAGCTCCAGGTGTCCAGGACAACTTCAGGGCAGAGCTGCTGTTCTGAGATGCTCAAGGTGTGGGATACCTTTCACTCCAGGTCTAAAATGTCTCCTTACAGTTTCTGACATCAGAGCTGTCTTAAGCAGCTCAAGGTGTTGCCTAACTCACAAGTAGTCGGGACACCTTTCCCCAGAGTTGGAACAAATTTACCTACATCGTTGTTGCCAAAAACCAGGACCAAACCCAAAGAGTGGCATACAATTTACTTACAGCTATTTTGAGTCTAGGCCAGCAGAGGCATGCTGTTTAGATGATGGGAGGTGGAGGTGCATGAGCTCTCTCAGTAGGTTTGCTGAAATAACTGTCTAGAAATTTACTTATTGTCTACTCCACAGGTGTGCACCCTCCAGAAACTGTGAAGATGTTTCTTCTGTATTCAAAAACAAATTCTCCATGATCATACCTGTGACAATGGAGACAAAAATAACATCATTAACAGATTTTAGGATGGGATTCAACATCATGCCAGATTTATAAACTCCCCAATGGAATATCTATGTATCACTAAAATAAGTACACTGGCAGAACTATAATGCTCCAAGTGGTGCTCCCAATTTTCACCAAGGTATCACCTGAGAACTGTGAGATAGGGAACTCCTCATGTCCAACCACAGATCCGTGATTGCAGGAAATAATGGGATATACATGTGCAAACACATAGAAAAATAGACAACACATACACATGTGAGAGACAGAGAAAAAGATACTTAGAAAGACAGAGAGAGACTGAGAGTGGAGGAACTCTATCAATTGGATGCTGAACAAATGCATGCAGGTGTGTCCTCTCAGAGAGGAACAAAAGGAGCAGGGATCAGTCTCAGTCCTTGTATCCATACATTTAGATGTGTGACTAGGACTCTCCAACTGCTGCTTGGAGAATCAAACACACAAGGCCTTTCCAAGCAAGTAACAAAAAATCAAGTGAAACTAACAGCAACTAACATCTCACAGTAGCCAACACTTGATAGAATCTCTTCAAATGCATACTAGGAACTCACATACTACTGCCTCCGTCCATGAGAAATATGACTCATACTACAGGCTCTGTTTTTGTTTCTTTTTAGAGGAAGCAGAATAGTCTTTGCCCTCATGTCATTCCTGTCCACATTTGAGGAGCTCAAGGGAGCGGGAGGTCCCAGCTGGATAAGGAAAAGAGTGGCAGAACAATGAAAGAGACACCATGGTAAATGAAGACCCCATATGAATAATAATAATAAGAGTGCTAGAGAGGTCCCCAGAAATCCACAAACATTACTCCACTATAGGCTACTGGCAATGGTGTTGAGAGCGCCTTAGATGACCTGCTCTGGTGATCAGATGGCCAAACACCCTAGCTGCCATGATAGAACTCTCATTCTTCTGATGGAAGCAGATGCAGAGATCCATGGCCAAACCCCAAGTGGAGCTCCAGGAGTTCAATCAACATGAGACAGGAGGGATTGTTTCAGCAAAAGATATTGAGACAATGATTGGCTAAAGCACATGGATGAATAGTCAAACTAGTAGAAATGCATGAACTATGAACCAATTGGTGAGGAGCCCCCATGGAACTGGACTAAGCCCTCTGGATTAGCAAGACAATTGATTAGCTTGAACTGTTTTGGAGGTCCCCACACAGTAGGTCCAGGAACTCTCCTTGGAGCATGAGCTGGCTTTTTGGAACCTAGGGTTTATGCTGGGACACTTTGATCAGCCTAGGTGAAGAAAGGAGGGGATTGGACCTGCCTCAACTGAATCTACCAGGCTGAGCTGAATCCCCAAGGGACTCCTTGTCCTGAAGATGGGAAAGGGGTGGAATGAGGGGAGGGCATGAGGGGCAGGATGAGAGAGGACAGGGGAATACATGGCTGATAGGTAAAATTAAATTAATTATAAAAATAAAAAATAAATAAATAAAGTATTTCTCCCATTAAAGTGCTAAAAATATCTGTTTTTGCAAGCTTTGCTGACTCCGATTTTTTACTCCACCATGTAACAGGATCCTAATAAATTCTGATTTTTTTCAATGTAAAAACTTTTACAACTCCCAAACATATTCTGTTACAGTAGTTTATTTACCCCCCCCCCCCCGATTTTAATCAACCAAGAAAACCTTCCACATGGGAATGACAAGACAGAGAAGATATTAATAGCTGGACTAATATATAATACATGAATTCTAGTAAGTCACCAAAATCATTTATGTGCTTCTATTAAAATCCACAGTAGGAACAGGTGGCATTTATTTGTTATTAGATTAGCCAGATAAGAATTAGAATTCTGAGATTAGAACAGGCAAACACAACTCTATATTTAAAATTAAACATGTTGATTTCTACCTTCCCTCTCCATCTTCTTTGCTTTTAGCATCTGAAAGTGGTTAATCAATAAAGAATAGCTAGTTGGTGAGTCGTTCCAAATGGCAAAGGACAGGAGCCATGCACAACATTTGGTAACAGTCATGAAGTGAAGTGATAATTTTTTTTACCACGTGAAGTGGTTCTCTGCTCTAAAGCAGCATTTACAGCATTTTTTATAAGTTTGGATCTGATTCCTCTGTTCCCAGAAAGAGATGTTCACCAGAAAGACATGTGCAGCTTAGCTCATATAAATTCTAGCTTATCACCATCATCAAAAAACATGCAAACAAATAGGCAAATAGAAGTCCCACTTACGTAGGAAGTGATTTTATAAGTCATGCCTTGGGACAGCACCCATTTCCTTGGTGCATCCCAACCCATCTTTCTCTAGGTACAAGAAACTGACATGCAGAGAGGCTAAACTGCCGAAGACATAACCAAGAATTTCCTGGGGATGCCTGCTGTCCACTCCTGGTTTTGCACTCTGTTCCTCACACCTGTATTCTAAACCTGTACATGTGGTTATTTCAGTTCCTAGCCCAAGATCTTATTCTCCTTGTATAGCATTTGATGTAGATCAAAAGGGCCTGTTACAGGTCCTAGGAGAAGGACAAAATCAAAGTGACTTTTCACATCTGATAAGGTCTATTTACCTTTAAAGAGGAAATTCGTCAAAGATCTGTTTACAGAAACCTTAATGAAGAAGCACCGAAATTATAAGGATACAAAGAAGATTTCACAGGTATTTGTGTACATCAGCCCTGGACTTAATCTCCAACCTAAGGTAACTAGTGGATACATTGGCAGACATTACTTATACCCCCTGCATACCTGGAATTTAAGGAGCTACTTTGCTCATAGCTTTAAGGAGGTTCTTCTGACCTTCCCGGAAGAACATAGCATAAGATTGAAATTCATAGTCAAGGCAGTGAATTCAGATCCAATTCCCCATATCTGAAAATTTTAATGGTCCGGAAATTCAACGAAAATTTCATTCATAGAAGTGAAGCTTGTTGTATATAACATATTAGAATAATTTAGCATGGTACTTTATATGGCAAGACAATATCAGGGGATATTTTTGACAGGGTGAAGTGGTTTGTGAGTCTATGGATGTCACTGTGTCTTTTTAAAAGTGTGACAGGGAAACACAGGTTGGGTTCAGGAGGAAGTAGGATCTCTTCTTCTGAGACAGATATGGTGCTGTTGAGCATTTCTTGAAATACACATCTCACTGATTTATGAAACCCCCTCTGTCATAGAGTGCTTTCTTAGCATCTTTATTACACTGAGTTATCAGGCACAGCAACGTAGAATGGGAAGAATTTATCATAGCCTAAAATTCCATGTAATAGTTCCATTTTAATTAAATTGAGGAAAGAACTCACTAATCATATCACATTCACAGCCAAGAGCAGAGATAAATAAATGTACCCCTGCTGCCTGTTTGCTTATGCTTATGCTCAAGCTTCTTCATATGTACACATTCCAGGTTGCAGACAATGAAATCATTCTGCCCATTTTAGGGACTCTTATCGCAATGAACAATTAATAAAATCCCACAGAGACATGTTGAAAGTGAATCTGATCTATATAATTTCTCATTGAGGGTCCCTCTTCCCAGATGACTAGTTTGTTTCAGTCTGATAATAAAACCTAAGAATCACACTGCCCCAGCATCACAGCCAGGATTTGAGGAGATTTCTGCCTGCATTCAGAGCTGTGGCCCTCAACGTGTGGGTCACCACCCCATTGGGTATTGCATATCAGATATCTTACAATCAAATTTTTGAACTGTGATTCATAACATTAGCATAATTAAAGTTAAGAAACAATGAAACAATTGTGTTTAAAGTTCACCACGACATGAGGAACACTGTTAGTGCTATTTAAAGTGTCAGAAAATTGGAAAAATTAAGAAAAATTGATCTAGAGTGTCCAGTAGAAACCTAGTGTCTATGTTTCTAAATATGAATGGGCTTGCAAAGGATTTTCCTGAATATCCTTTCCTCTATAGGAAACTTATGTTCTATGTGGAAGACTCCACCTGTCTGGCCACCTTTGCTACCCAGTAACAGCAGACCACTTTGAGCTACTCAACTGAGAGTACAACAGCAACTACACACATGCTGATGACACAGATTTTAGTCACACTGAACTCCATGACCGTATCACACTCCAATGGGTACTTGTTCCTAGGCTCTTCATCTAGCATAAATCTGCCCAGATGTTTTCGGTAGATTCTTTACCAGGAAATTGTTTAACAAGTGTCCTTCTCAGTCAGCATTAAGTCTATAATGTCTTGTGCCTAAGAAGATGCAAAAATGCAGGTATTTATTATGAACTATAGCACATATATATTTCTATGATATTATTACCTTGTGTACATAAATTTACTGTAGGAGATAAACATTCACTTCCACACAAGGAAAGAACTAAGTGATTTCCAAATAATTGGGGAGAGATCTCTGGCTTTGGATTAATGGGGTGCTGAAATGATTCCCTTGTATCCCAGCAGAGGCTCATGCAAAGGTCAGCTTTACTTCTGGGGTATAATGACGAAAGCTCATTAGCAGTGAAGCAATGTCAGTTTTCATGATATCTGCAGCACTTCACTGGACATTCCACTGTATCCTGGAGAGCCCTGGCATCCTCTGTGATGTCACCAATGTTGTGGCAACACCACCTGCCCTTGGGAAGTTTATTCAATGTCTTCACCATTTCCTGATGAACATGATGACATACAGAAGAGTCTAATTCAGAAAGAGATGGAGAGAGTAGAGAGAACAGAGAGTGACAGAAGAAAGCTGATCTTCAGCCTCAATGTAAAACATCAAGAAAGAAATAGTCAAGAGAATGGTGTCATGACTTCAGTGCAGGAAAAGGGAACCTTCCTGGAGGAATTAGACTTGAACTGAATCTTTCAGTAATGGGGCCCAGAAAGCTGGAGTCTCTAAGAACCAACAGAACTTGCCTGCTTGTCATGGCTCTTGAAATTCAAGGATTCCAGGAAATTAATTGTTCTGGCTCAAAGTTAGCAACTGGTAAGGCCAATGCTTTATGCTGTGAACTCTTGGCATTCATTCTTTTTGGAAGATAGGCATTGATGAGTGAACATGAGACCAACATTAAAGTGGGAGGGATTAATGAGGTGTGCCCATTTCAAGGCAGTTCATCATTGTACTTCAACCACAGTGGCTAACTTTAGGTAATCCTAGCTGTTCTGTGTGTCCTGAGTTGTCAGTGAGGTGACTTCTTGAGTGTGTTGACCATGTTCTGCCCTTATGTGTCTTCCATATCAATAGTTATATAATTAGAGTGACTTGTAAAGATATTTGCGGAACCTCTAAATGACTAGGGTGATTGTGAACTATGGCAATTTTCTCCTGACTCGTAAACCCACAGGCATATGGACTCTGCAGCCAAGTTGAATTCTGAGTCTGCAGCTGTAATGCAGCTTAATGTCTTAAGAGGCTATCTCCTTGGTTACTTGGAGCATGTGTTATGAGGACAGAGAGAACCAGATTGTAGATGTAACCAACTGTCTTATTAAAAAAGAAACACAGAACCAATGTACAAGAGAAAGCCGAGAGGTCAGAGCTCAGAGCTAAAATCTCACCCTTCCTTCTGTGTTGGTCCTAGCTCTACAAAAGAGAGCTACTTCCTGTGTGTATATATTTTAATAGTCTTTTTGTTCTGCCTTCTCATTGGTTGTAAACACAAACACATGACTGCCTCATCACTGTCTGTATGTACAGCCCCCCAGTTCTTAAAGTCATAAGTCTCCAATGCTGGCTATATCCCTGAACACACAGAGATCTACCTAGCTCTTCTACCAAGTGCTAGGATTAAAGGCGTGTGCCACCACCGCCACACTCTTGCTATGGCTCTAATAGCTCTGACCCCTGGGTAACTTTATTTATTACCATACAATTAAAATCTCATTTCAGTACAAATAGAATACCACCATATTTCCCCTTTTCTATTTTAATAAAAAGAAAAAATCAAAAGGTTATAACTAACAAAAGAAAAACTATATACAAAAGTACAATAACTATATACAATATATACGAGTAATAAATACCTTAACAATGTCTAGTCCATTTGTATTTGACAAATCAGAGAAAATAATTCTATTATCTATCCTATTTTGGTAAGTCCAAAATGTATCTAATTCACTTTCTATCCTAGTTAATCTTCAACTATAACTAACTAATCTTCAACTATATCTAACTAATCTTCAACTCCCTCAGAGACCCAAGAAGGAAATAATATTAGCTAAC